TGCACTTCCCAGAGGTAGGCGAGCAGCTGGACACGCCCTCCCCACCCCACCCCCCCAAAAAACGAACCCCAGCAGAATTGTGTCAGGCGGAGGGAAGGGAAGAGCATTTGGGCATTGAGAACAATGTATGCAAAAGTGAGCAGTGGGAGGGCCTGTGATCCACTGAGTGACAGGTGTCTTGGCATTTGGGAACGGGGAGAAAATGGCCCTGGAGACGGGAAGGCATTGCCCTGGAGGTACTGGCAAGCTCCTGACTGTTCCTTAGGAGAGGTGAGATGCAGTTAGCTTAGATGCAGTTGAGAACTTTTGCCCCTGTGGTGGGAGGTTGGGATGGGGATATGGCCATGGGCATTTTGAGGAGGGACAAGACCTCCCTGGTGTGCATTCCTTCTTTCCACTGGTCAGGGAGGCTGTCCTTGGGCCCAGGGAGCCACCAAGGAAGAGCTATATATCTGCCCATTTCTATGAGGCTGTCCTGGCCACGGGCTGACGTCCGAAGTAGTTGCTACCTGTGGGTGAATCTTCATTTCCCCCCTCAACACCAGAGCTGCAGAGGTGTGGCCTGGAGAACAGCCAGTGGGGTGTCTAGATTCTTTGGGGTCTTGTGGGACCATATGCAAGGAGGAAGGAAGTCAGGACTTGCTGTAGAGGCTGGGGTCCCCAGGAGACCTGGGGTCCGAGGGTAAGAAGGGACAGTGGCCTGAGGTTGCTTCCCATGTGGATCCCCTAATGGCCAGGTCTGGGGCCTGCCTTCCTGCCACACCTGGGAGCTGGGCCCAGCCTGGGCCAGTCCGAGGGAAGGAGCATTGCGTAGTGCTTAGAAGTTACTCCCTCAGCTCTTTCCCAGCCCCTTTTCTGAGTCGAGGGACCCACCTTGTCCTTGGGTTTCTGGGAACAACCCAAGGTGTGCCTGGGCCTGCATGTGGCCACAAGCCCAAGGAGGGGGGCTGCCCAGGAGGGAACTGTGGGAGCACCCCTCCCACCAGCACCAGCCTCACCCTTCTCCGTGGGGCCCTGTTAAGGGTGCCCCTGGCTCACTCTCCCTGTCAGGCTTTCAGACCAGCTGGGTTCTGCAGCAGCCGCAGGCTGGGCAGCTGCTCTTCAGAGGCGTCTCTGTACTCCTGCAGAATGGGGTGGGACAGGGCAGGCCTCCCTCGCTGACCCCACCTGGGCTTCAGGCCAACCGGCCCGGAGTCACTGAGGTGCCTCGGTGTTGTTGACAGTGGTTCTGTCCACGCTGGGAGAGGGGCGGCCTGGGTGGGCACTCTGTGGGGGGAGCTGGCTCTAGGTCAGTGGCCTTGGTGGCCTCAGGTTTCCCCCTGCTACCCGCCCTCCCTGAAGCTGGCGATTTCCCTGGTGAATGTCGTCATGCAGGAGCGCCTTGCTTCTCCATGTCCCTGTTTCTCAAAGGACACCCCCACCCCCAGCCAGCTCATTTGTAATCCTCTAAGGTTGCACCCAGGAGTCAGGGGCTGGTTTTGTCTCAGGCAAATCAGTTAGTGCCTTCCAGTAATAGCCTCCTCTTCCTCACTTCTCTGTTTGGAGACAGGGTCTCACTATGTAGTCCTGGCTGGCTTGGAACTCTCTGTGTAGATCAGGCTGGCCTCAAATTCACATAGATCTGCCTGCCTCTGTCTCCCAAGTGCTGGTATTAAAGGCATTTGCCGCCATGCCCAGCAAGCCTGGCTGTCTTGGAACCCAGGCGTTGCCCATTTATTTTCTTGGTGCCTTGGGTCCACCTGGAGCGTGGCTGTGACTGATTGTGTTAATGGAGCCACTGTTTTTCATTAAAAAAGTGGGCTGACGCTGGGCGGCAGTGACACATGCCTTTAATCCCAGCACTCAGGAGGTAGAGGCAAGTGGATATCTGTGAGTTCGAGGCCAGCCTGGTCTCCAAAGCGAGTTCCAGGAAAGGTGCAAAGCTACACAGACAAACCCTGTCTCGAAAAACCAAGAAAAAAAAAAAGTGGGCTGACATTAGCTCATCTTAGCCACAGCCGGCTTGAGAAAGGCCCATCTTTGGCCCAACTGGCATATGGACTAACTGAGGCTCCCAAAGGGTCAGTGAGGTTGGTAGAGTCTTGTGTGGGTACTTGAGGGCAGAGCTGAGACTCCTGGCTCTTCTCTCCACACTGGAGCTGATTTGCAGCAGCGATGTGATCAGCATTCGATTGTTAACGTAGTCCCGACTTGGGGTTTAGCTGGGGCTGCCAGGTTCAGCCTGTTTGGGGTTAGACTTCGCTGGGCAGTCAGGGCTCTTGCCTGGGTGCAATGTCACAGTCAGGTACTTGGCCCCATGAGAACTTGGTATGCGTGCCTGCTTTCTTCTCTTTCCTTTCTGAACTTCACCTCCATGCAAGGTCCTTCACCCTGAAGCACCCCAGAAGCTGGTCAGGAGCTAGGCAGCTTCTGGGACAGAGGCTGGAGGTCACTGAGGAACCTGGGTGGTGTGGGGAAGAGAAGGTTGCTCCTGATAGCCGGGCTGTTCACCTCTGCCTAAGTCACAAGGGGACCCACATTGCCCAGCCTCCCCGTTTCCAGGGTCTAATGTGTGCATGATGACACCAGATGTGGGTCATAATGACTCCAGGTGTGGGTCAACAGGCCTTGGTCTTGGTTCCCGTTTCCCTAACCAGGCTCAGCAGAGACATCTAACCCACCTGTGTCCATGGGGTGTTAGAATTTTCTCTGATGCCCCCATCCCTATTGTAGGTGATTGCATCACTTGGGGGCCTGGCGACTATTTTCCAAGGCAGATCTTTATGTCTTTTAAATTTTGTTGTGCTGAGTTTTAATCCTATAAAGACCATGCAAGTATATATTTCCTGTAAAAGTGGGATCTTGACAAATCAGGCTTTCCTTAGCAGCCTCCACGTTCTGGACTCCCCCACAAGGCTAGCAGTGGTTGCTGTAACCCTCCAGCGTTCTCTCTGTGCACAGACAAATAGCATATAGCACATAGACAGCAGTAGTTGCTAATAGTACTGAGTACTGGGTACGTTAACTCTCACTTAACATTATACCTGGAAAATCTGGCGTGTGTGTGTGTGTGTGTGTGTGTGTGTGTGTGTGTGTGTGAAGTCAGCATCAAATGCCTTCCTCAGTCACTCTCCACCTTAGGACTGCTAGGGTCTCTATCTCACCAAGCCTGGAGCTCACTGATTTGGCCAGCAACCCCCAGGACACTAACCGCCTGCCCACATCTCAGCATCTCAGGTACACACTGGCGCACTTGGCTTTTTTACCTCTGGGGTGGGGGTTTGAACTCTGATCCTCACGTTTGCACGACAAGCACTCTCCTGACTGGGCTTTCCTCCTGTCCTCTCCCGCCAGCCCCTGTTTGCTATGTAGCCTAGTCTGGCTTCTAACTTGGGGATCCTCCTGCCTCCACATTCTGAGTGCTGAGATTACGAGCCTGAGGCATCCCAGTTGGGTTATGTCTTCACACGGAGAACTACCATCATTTAAAAAGCACCGATAGGCAGTATTTGGAAGTCACCCTTAATATTTAACCATTCCCCTTCTGCCGGACATTTAAGTTAGCTACAGTTTTATTCCAGAGCTTCCCTGGGCTTCTCTAGACTTTCTGGTGCTGGGTTATGGGAACCTGCTGTGCTTTAAAAAATGTATTATCTGATATTTTCAAACTTTCCCATCGAGAGTTTGTGAGGAACCAAACACCTTCCATTGTTTCCAGCTACCCTTCGCTCTCTTCTCTTGATCTGGATAGAAAATCTGCTTCCCTGGCTTCTCCTCTGCTTCTCCTCTCCTTCACAGTCTCCTTTTCTGCCCTTGTTCCGGTGGTAGCCTTCTGATGAGCTGGGGGCAGAGTAAGGGTGGTGGTAGTTCAGAAGATCAGTGGCCTCTGGAATCAGAAGGCCTTCGTTGGGATCCTGACCCGGCTCCCCCAAGAGCCGCCATTTCTAGAACTGTGGCACATCTCCCTGTGGCTTGGCCTTATCCACTATGAACCAGAAATAACAGCACTCACGTCACAGAGCAGCCTTGAGTGCAAAGGGCTGGCCAGGCGAAGGGTAGGTGCCCCGTGGTGTCCCTGTCATGGAGTCCTGCCTCTGCCTTAGCTCATCGTCGCCTCACTGGGTGCTGAGCCTGTGTCCCTGGTGGGCAGCCTGGATTGGCTCTCACCATTGTGACGCCTCCAATTCTCCGGTCAACGCATGTCCCAGAGGACATTGCTGCCTGGGAATGCACTGGGTGATCGGATTTCTACCCTGCTTGGCCCTGAAGGTTCTGGACAGGGGCCTGCAGAGAGAGAGAGAGGAGGCTGTCCTGGTCATTTGCCCTGAGGAGGTGGCCAGGAGCATAGTACCTAATGTAACCCCACACCTTGGACACATTTACCGATTTTCAATGGGTCTGTTGTGGATGTGGATTTGATCCCTGTTGGCCTGCGGGTGTGCAGGAGAAGACAGCAGCTTGGGGCCAGACTGTCCCCTGGGAGCTGGGTGTCATGGAACCATGTTGGCCCAGGCAAGGGTTTGCCTTGGTCTCCGGGGCACACCGTTTTCCTGGTTCCATTCTGGCGCTGGGAGAATGGCTCCCGGCTTCTCCTTACATCCCTTGCGAACAGCAGAGCGCCTGCGTGCCCCATCTGACCGGCTCACCCTGCAAAGCAGGGACCCTGGCTGTGGCCATTGCCCAGGTGGAGAAAGCAAGGTTACGCGGATTCCTAAATGACATTCTCAAAGCCACCCACATGGTTGGCCGCTGGCAGAGCTGGGAGTGGTACCCATGCCATCTGGCTGTCCCTCCACTTCTTTCTTACAAGGCCACCCAATGTGATCATCCTGGCAGAGGTTGCCCAGGCGGGCAGCCCGCTTGGCCTTGTCTCTCTGGGCAGTGGCATGTGGTCCGAGAGTGCAGACAGCTGGGATTACAGTCTAAAAGCAGAGGAGTGTGTGGCTGGCCCCGGCCCAGCCCTCCCCAGCGCCAGGCCACACTCCCTCCTGGTAGTTGAAGTGGCCAGCTGAAGAGTCGCTGCTCCAAGGTCCCTCTGCCCTGTTGGAGAGAGGACTCTGGATCCTGTCTTAGGGGAAGGGAGGTTCGGCAATAGTGCGGCTCCCAGGGAAGCAGAGGACAGCCACTGTTGGTCCAGTTTTCAACTGGGGAAAGTACGTCTATGAAATACCAAGGGGCTGGTGGGTGCTGGTGGGTGCTGGTGGGTGCTGGGGGGTGGCAGGGCATCCGCCAGCCCCTCTCTTCTAGCCACTGGCTCCTGCTGCTCTGGGGTTGCCTCACTCTGAAGGTGCTGGCCTGACCCTGCTTGGAGTGAAGGTCGTGAGTACAGTGTCAGAGGGATTTGCACAGGGATCCGATCTCACATCTCCTCGTGTGTACTGAGCACTTTCCCGAGCCTGGTGCTATTCAGTGCCTCGTGATGAGTCTTAACACTCCATCCTCAGAATAACCCGAGGTGGCTGCCCTTGTGAATTCCCAAGTGCAGCTGGGGAAGCTAAGGCATGGGGAGACCGTTTAACCGTGTAGCCCAGATTGGCATCAAACTCCCAGGGATCCTCCTGCCTGGGCCTCCCAAGTGCTGGAGTTACAGGTGGACCTGTCTAGCCCCATACCTGTCTTCCAGCACAGGCTACATAGCAGGAACTCCATCAGACTGTGGGATAAGGGCTTTTCTGGCAGGCACTGGTGACCGGGAGGCTTTGGGCGAGCGACTGGGTCTCTTGGCACCCTGGCTTTGATGGGAAGAGGCCCACACAGTGCAGTTGGGAAGTTCTGTACTCAGGGCCCTGGCCACGGCAGCTGTGCTCACTCCGGGAGACCTGCAGCTGAACTGATTTGAACTACATCCTGGGGAGTAGGCAGGGCTCCCCCCCCACAGCTGTCCACACAGCGAGCGGCTCCGCTGCCAGCCCAGGGATAGAAGGACATTCTCTCTGCATGGGTGGCTGTGGGGTATTACTGGTGCTGGCTTTGGCTTCCTCTGGAGCCCGAGGGCCTGAGGGCAGACAGTGTGCCCACCTTCATGCAGGACGCTTGAGTTAGCATTGAACTCTACAGCCTCCTCTACCCAGCCTACAGTGCCGTTCCGCTCCCCGTCATCCGTGAGCCCATCTTTGATGAGCTCGGGGAGGTGAGGTAACTTACCTGCTTCACCTGACTTCAGGTGAATCTTCCTCCACTAGCTTCTGTGCCGCCCCCCATGGGTTCCATAAATAGGAACAGATGAGAACTAGAGCCAGGGTCTCTGTGGGGCTACCAAGTGACCCTGCCACCTAGGCCCCTGCATGCAGGGGGTCCCCCACTCCCACCCAGATTTACTCTGCAATGGTACTCACACTTGCTGTATTTCTTTGTAAATCCCTCCCCCCAGGGTTAGTAAGGACCTCCACCTGGCCAGATAGAACAGGGCTTGGAGCCCAGAGCCTGAGAATGGAAAACACATAGGAAGTAAGGGGGCGGGGAGTCTGCCTGTGTCCCCTGGTCACACCCACCTGAGGACTGGAGATCAGGAGAACCGCCGAGCATACAACCCTATGGAAAGCAGGGGTCTGGGTGCGAATCCCATTTTGTTAACCTCTCTGTAGTTGCCCAAGTAGCCTCTGAGCCTTATTTTCCTCACCCTTGGAATGAGGGCAGTGAGAGGAAAGGGTGAGCACCTGGCGGGAACCCAGGCTTGCGTCCCGTTTGCTGTAGGTCTGCTGCCAGGGAGGGGACAAGGAGGGACTTAAGAAGGCTCTGGAGTCTGTGCCAGCAGCCCAGGAAGCTGAGGCCAGAAATAGACGAGTCCGGAGACAGGGGCTCCAGATGGCCAGGCTTGCCCTCTGGCAGCCCCGAGCCTGCGCACAGTCCTGCCTCCTGGGGCTGGTCGTTGCATAAATCACCCCTCGGCGGGGCGGACTAATTTTACCTTCTTGGTTTTCGTGATTCATATCTCATCCGGGAACCCGTGAGAGAAATGGGAAGGGACTCTGATCTTGGGATGCGAGGTGCCAGCTGCAGTGGGATGCCGCGTCCGTGTGGGGTGCCACTGGGTTAGCATGATCTGGCGCGGATGAGCTGCAGTGGATCCCAGGGCTGGAATCCGGTGGTTTTGCCACAGTCTGTTTTGGCCTCTGTGGTGGAGTAGGTTGGCAGGAAGATGCTTGTCACCTGCGGGTCTGGTGCTGAGAGTTTGCATAGGGCTGATTCCCCTCCCCCACCCCCCGATTGTGGTCAGAGAATGCCAGAGCAATTGGGTGCTAAAGGAATTCAAGCCCAGTTACTTCAGCATACAGACACGTGTAAACTGAGGCTCGGTGCCTACGTGGAAGAGGTCAGACTCACAGGCTCACAGCAGCCCAGCTTGACTTGTGTCTTTTCATAAGGGGACAACAGAGGCTTCCCTAACCATGATCACACCAGGGGCCGCCCTACCAGCTTCTACCTGAGCCCCCTCCCCCCCTTGCAGGGATCTGGCTGCCTGTGTCCCGCTCCCCTGCGTCTCCTGCGCTCTGGGAGCACCCGATTGCGTCTGCTTCACCTCAGCATCTGTCCGCAGGGTTCAGGGTAGGGGAGCCGTCCAGAGGAAGGACTGGCAGGCTGGACGGTTCCCAAGTCATCATCTGGAGCTTGTCCTCAGTCTACTTCACAGGTCACCAGCTCAGACGCCTCGCACTGGACACAGGAGGTTGACGGGCTGCCTTGGGAGCTGGGGAGGCATGCTGGCCCATCTGAGCAGGGCTCCCACTTACCTCCAGCACACGGCCACCACGTGCAGCCACCTGCACGGTGTGACCGTCCGTTCTGACTGTCCAGGCTTTCCTGTGGACTCTTCTGTTTCTCTAAAGTTGGCCGAAACAGAAGTTGAGAAAGCAGCAGCCGCAGCCCCCAGTTTGCCACCTACACTTCCGTCTTTCTTGTCGCCTCAGGGTGGAGCAGGTTCCGTGGTAATTATCTTGTGGGATCCTCTCAGGAAGCCCTGTCTTCCCTGGGCAGGATCCCTTCCTCTCTGGGTCACAGTTTGTCACCTGTCCTACAAGAGTGCCACCCGGGAACAGTGACAAGGAGGGTAGGCTTCGGGCTGGTTAGACTCCACACAGCTGCTGTGCAGCTTTGTTCAAGACACTTAACCTCTCTGAACTTCCATCTGAAAAGCAAAGGAAAACTGCTTCCAAGGTCGTGGGCTTTATGAAATACCACCTGCCAGAAACTTAGCCGTCATGCAAAAATGGAATGTATGTGGCTAGGCTCAAGGTCCAAGAGGATGCTGAGAGCTTCAGGCACAGTTGGATCCAGGGGCTCGCACAATATCACACAATCTCTGTCCAGCCTTCTCTGTTCTCTTGTGTACTGGCTCCATTCACAGGCCGCTGATGGGTTGGGGTTGGGAATGGGGAGGGGCACAAGCTTGCCAGCAGGTACCTCCGTTCTGCATCCTTTTCCTCGTGAATTCCTGTGAAGGTCCATCTCTTCATCCATTGGCTGGGTCTCCTACCCCTCCTTGCACCAACCATTGGGTATTGCTGATCCAGTATGCTGATCCAGGCTCTGATTGGTTGGTCCTCACAGTCACACACCAGCTAAGAAGGGACAGGGCAAAGCAAGCCCACAGGCGTGGCTGCTGACCCATGAGGATGGGAACCTTGTTCTTCAGGCTCCCAGCATGAAGGAAGGACAGGGCCGGCGTTCAGTATAGGTACCGCAGGAGCACAGGTCAAGAGGGAGTGAATGGGCTTCCTTCACTGGGTTTGGAAGACGCCTCGGCCAGGGCACTGACATGTTAGAGCTTCCCCCTCCCACCTCCTTCCTGGAGGCCTGTGAGGAAGGTCACCTTCCTGGCAGTGTGACAGCTCTGCAGAGCCTCACTCTTGTAAGCTTGTCAGCACCAGAGCAGCCCAACGACCCCAGTTTGTCCCACAGGTGTGACACACAGTCATCACAAGTGTCACAGTGAATACTTGGCCATCTTACCCGACATTGGTCTCCTTCGTCTGTGAGCTCCAGTAGCTCACACTGCTTGCTTGTCCTCCTTGCGAAGCGGAGCTCCTGTCCCGTCACCCACAGGAAGGGCACAGTGAGGAGTGAGATCATGCCTACCGCAGGTGCTTGTGAAAGGCAGGGCCTCTGTGCCTCCCTCCAAACCACGCTCTGTCAGCACACGGGCCTGTCATGAGCCCTTCCACCTACAGGAACGGCGCTTACTGGGTTCTTCATACATGGTTACCACAGGCACACATGCATGCACATACACACACACACACACACAGAGAGAGAGAGAGAGAGAGAGAGAGAGAGAGAGAGAGAGAGAGAGATGGAAGTAAGCCCAGGCCCATACTAAAGTCCAAAGGATCGGAACAACTTTTTCACCAGCAGCTCAACACACAGTAGGATCACCTGCATGGTAGACTAGTCACCTCAGATCACACTGGAGCATGGGCCGAGGCAGCAACTCTGTATACAGTGGGTTGCTGTGTAGGGAAAGGACCGAGGGCTGAGGGCCCAGCCCCTTTCATAGCAAACGAGAAGCCTGTCTTCAGGAAGCCAGCAGGTGCCTGCTCATAGTCCCCTTGACCAGTGGCAGAAATGGTTTTGGAGACAGAAGACAGGAAGTCCTTACAGCCAGAGATGGTAAGCAGAGATGTTACAAGGCTGCCCAGAACTCAGGTGGGTAGCCCTCCCTGGGGACATCTTGAACATGCACTTGTACAATCCCCTGAACAAGTCATGTTAGGCAGACTTTGGCTCAGGAAGTCAGGGGTGGAGCCTAGGGTTCTGATTCACCAGGTAGCTCCATGTGACGCCAACACTTGAGGGGTGTAAGCTCATCCTTTGGAAAAGAGGATGGAGACACACTGGAGGTGTTTTCATTGTAAGATTCCAGGTCATGGCAATCAATACAGAGCCAACGAGAATGGCGAGGATGAGTGGGATGGACACAGAGGAGGAGACTGGAGAAGTGTAGGCAAGGCTGGGCCTCCAGCGGTCTGTATGTACCTGTACCTTTCTTCTCCCACAGTGTGCAGGAGGCAGGGGCATGTTTGAGAGCTCTGCGTTAGCCAGCATTCTAGTCTCAACACTGCTTCGTGAAGGCCCTATACATGACTTAGAGGGGCACTTGCTCAGACTTCCTGGGATTCCTCATTAGCAGGGTGAGGGGAAGAGTAGGTGAGTCCAGAGGCCATGGTGTGGTGCTAGCACTTGCCCACCACAGGCAAGTTAGCGGTCTGTGTGGGAATCCCTTAATTATCCTCCAGAGAGCCCTCGTGTCCAGGCCTGGGCCTCTCCTGGCCTGCCTACCTTCTTCCTGCTTTGCCACCAGTGACTGTGGCTTTCCTGGGCCCTAGACGGCCCAGCCCAGACACCTCTCACTCCTTGCGTCCTGCCCCTGGCTCCTTAGCCCTTACCAGGCCTGGATGGCCCATATTTAGGATTCTGGAGCCCCAGGGGGTCTTGGGGAATTTATTTGGACCTCAGGGCTCTCCTCCACAGAGTGGCTGGGGGAGCCTCCACTACCTCCTCTCCCCATGCGTGGCTAGCATTCTGGGATAGCCATGGGGAGAAGATTTATTTTTAAATAAAGAAGCCTAGGATTTATTTTTAAAACACTTTTTTAAAATTTATTTTTATTTCATGTGCATTGGTGTTTTTGCCTGCATGTATGTCTGTGTTAGGGTGTTGGATCCTCTGGAAGTGGAGTTACAGACAGTTGTGGGTTGCTGGGAATTGAATCCAGGTCCTTTGAAAGAGCAGCCAGTGCTCTTAACCACTGAGCCATCTCTCCAGTCTCCATTTTTAAAACTCTTTAGTATTGATAAACATTTTTATTACCTATCAAAGAGTGAATAAGAATTTCTATGTACTTGTCACCCAACCTCAGTTAATAATTCCTGGGCATTGCTGCTCTGTTTTAAGTTAAGAATACACCCTGCTGGCCTCAGATACAGTGAGAAGCACCTCCTCCCTGGCTAGTCACTACCACTGGCAACCGTCACTGCCCAGAGCCACCAGTACATAAGAAATCATCATAAGTACCAAACACATTCCGTGTATACTTCCAGTGTTATTGCGTATTTGAAAATGCATTCATTTATTTTTTTGTGTGCAAGTATGTATATGTGTGTAGGTGCTCATGTGCCATGGTGTGTGGAGATCAGATGATAACTTTAAGAAGTCAGTCCGCTTCTTCCACTGTGTGGGTCCGGGCATTGAACTCACCAGTCCGGGCAACAAAGGGCATTACTCACTGAGCTCTACATATATTTTGCCTAACAGCCTTACCAAGTCGAGGCTGCCCGTATCCACCGGCCCAGAGAGGTTCAGGCACTCCCCTAGTCAGTCACACAACAATAAGTTAAAGCATCATGGCAAGCACCTCTCATCGGCCATTCTGTTTCTTACTCAGATCCTGCTGTCACCATGGAGGAGGTCCTGCATCCGAGAGTCTGTTGTGTGTCCGCTTTGCACCAGGCCCTGTTGGGGCTGCAGAGGACACAGCAAGAAACAGACTAGATAAGCATCTTCACTTCCTGGAGTCTACATTCTAGCTGGGGAGACGGGGGCCAATCTTATAAATAAATACTATACAAGTTGGACTGTGACGTGGTCTACAGAAAGTGCAGCGGGAAGGAGAGAAGGAGCAAGGGTTGCTGCTATTTCATACAGGATGCCCAGAGGTTTTACATCAGTCAAAGCCTGGAGGGCGGGGCAAGCCATGTGGACCTGCTGGAAAGAGCACTTTTTGCAGAGCCAACAGCCGAGGCCAAGGCTCATTCGGAGGCTAGGGCAGTGGGAGAAGCATGAGAGATGAGGTCTCTGGAAATGGGGACAGTGTCCTGTGTTTATTTGTTCTGCATGAGATGGTCACTTTGTAGGGTCTCTAGCCAGGGGCCCCTTGTGACGGGTTCTCCTTGACTGTGGGTTGGGGGAGGGTCAGTAGGGAGCCCTCGGGAGAGGGAGACTGGTGGCTGAGATCAGGAAGAGTAACTGGAAGGAGTGGTTTCCCTCTTTAGGAGGACGGCCTGGTGTGCAGATGTGTAACGGAGCTCACAAACCCTAGAAAGGCTCGGGGGGCGGGGGGGAGGAGAGAAATGGTGGGATTGAAGGTTATATGTAACTTGACAACTTTTTTTGTTTTGTGAGATCGGATCTCACTATGTAGACGAGGCTGTCGTTCAGGGTCTGGATTACAGATGTGCGGCAGCACTCCCGGCTTCTGTGCCTCTGGTGAGGCCCCAGGACCAGGCCCTCCCCACAGAACACTTGGTGCTTACTCCCTAGAGAGGGGATGCATCAGAGCAGGAGGTGGTTTCCAAGGCCCAGGTGGAGTGCTGGAGCCATCAGGAGCAAGCCTCTCCAGAGGGGCCCCATACCTGCAGTGGGGCAGGGCCAGGCAAGAATGGGTGACAGCTGCCCAGAACAGAAACCCTGTCTGGACAGGCTTGAGAGAGGAAAGCAGAGTTCCAGGAAATGATGAGGCGGCTGGCTTCCCAACCAGGGACAGGCACCCTGGCTTTGCCCATTGAATTCCCCCCTCGAGTGTGGTCGGCATCAACCAGTTCCCTGATCCTCCAGCCCCAATTGTGTCCACTAGTCCACCCACCTCTGACACTGGCTTCCCAGACTCGGCACAGACCCCAGAGGACTGGGACTCAGTCCTACCGCACAGCCACTGCAGACTCCTCTTTCAGACCCTAGGTGTCCAGGCTTCTCACCTCTGTAGAGCAGAGGCTCCAGGACCCTTCCTCAGTTCCCACCATCCACTGTGTTGACGCACGGAACTCAGGAAATGGTGTTTCCCACCATTCCTGGCTTGTAGAAAGGGCACAACCCAGCCCCTGACGGGTGGTGTGCGGGAGGCCGAGGAGCTACTGAGCCCTCTCTGGGTCCGTCACCCCGACTAGTGAACCTCAGTGTGTTCACTAGTTCACTGACAGGTCTCTGAATTGTGTGTGTGTGTGTGTGTGTGTGTGCTATGTGCATGCAGTACACACATGCCCACACACTAGAAAGCACATGTGAAGGCTGGAGGTTGTTTTCTGTGTCTTCCTCTATTTCTTTCCACCTTATTTTTTGAGCAGGGTTTCTCACTGAGCCTGGAGTTCAGTGTTATAGTTAGACTGGGAAGCCAGCAAGTCCCCAGGATCCATCTGTCCCCTCCCTGTCTGCAACACTGGCATTATAGGCACATGACCCCATGTTCAGATTTTATGTGGGTGCTGGGAACTGAACTCAGTTCCTCATGCTCGCACAGTAAACACTTACTAACTGGACTTTTCCCCACTTCCACATTTTACATTTTATTTAAATTTTCCAGTTCTGGTTGTGGGGTCCAGTGGCCTGCATATGCTAGGCAAGCATTCTGCCATGGACTCACAACCAGCCTTGTTGAGGTTTTATAGGGTTTAATCTCCAGCGCTTGTTCCCCTCTTCCGGAGGTCAGTGGGGGAGGCTGAAAGCTCTAGCCTTCTAAAGACTTGGGCTTTTTAGAGACCAGCCCTACCCTGAAGTTCTCTGGAGTCCCCACAATACACCTCATTAGCATAAACTCAGGTGCTGGCCAAAGGGCTCCTTATGAATAACAAGAGACATTCTAGCTAGAGAGTGTGCCAGAAACCAAGGACAAGGCCAAATATGTTTCTTGGTGTACCCCATGGCCTTCTGCTCTGACAGCTGGCTTCATGGTAAGGACATGCCCCGCAAAGTCCTCATCAGGGCTTGGCTGCCTTAGCAATGGTGGCTGTGGGCTTTCTCATCAAAGCCACAAAATAAACACCTTTCAGTCCCTTTGACTGCCCCAAAGTGCGTCATCCGGTGTCTGCTCCAGAGGGCAATGCCATGTGTGGTGATATTCTTAAAGGCCAGGCTCTGGCTAGAAGTGGTGGCAGACACCTTTAATCCCAGCACTCAGGAAGCAGAGGCCACCCTGGTCTACAGAGCAAATTCTAAGACAGCCAGGACTACACAGAGAAACTTGTCTTGAAAATCAAACAGAACTGGAGAACTGGTTAGCGAGATGGCTCAGCCATCATTTAAGAGCAATGGCTGCCCTTCCAAAGAACGTGGGGTCCATTCCCAGCACCCACATGGCAGCTCACAACTGTCTGTAACTCCAGCTCCAGAGGATCCGACACCCTCACACAGGCAGGCAAAACACCAATGCACATGAAATAAAAATAAGGAAATCATTTTTTTAAAAAAAGAAAGAAAGAAAAAAGAAAAACAAAATAAAAAGGCCAGGCCCCATGTCCAGTCACAGTCACTGGGGAGGCCATGGGGGTGCACCATTGGTTGACATGGGCAGCCCCAGTTTCTGAGACTGAGCGTAGGCCAGATGCCCCTGAAGGGAAGTGTGACAGCAGAGCATGTCATGTACAGTGGGAAGCAAGCCCATGAAAAACGGTACCACTCTGACCCACCTTCTCCAGGACCTGCTCCAACCTCTGCCTCTCCAGTTTCGACCGACTGACCGACCGAGGAGTACACGTAGTACATTTTAGAAGTCCTGCAGGAGGGACCACCCTGGAAGGACCACAGTGTTCTACCAGACCCACCCCGCTCTGTTCCACGGATGCGCCTTGGAGGAAGCCCTGATCTGGCCAGAGCTCAGTTCCACAGCTGTTTATGGGGTTTCTTGCCTTGGGGCCCCTGCAGAAATATTTCACCTTTGTTCTCATGAGCATGCTAGTTCATACAGAAAAAAACACACGTCTTACCAAAGCATGGCCTGAGATACTTCTACAAACACAGCCCAGCTTGGAACTAGCACCCAGGCCAAGAAATCAAGCCTGACTTCAGCACCCCGAGAGCCATTTTCTGCCTATTCCAGTTGGTTCCAAGAAGAGCTCTGAACTTGACCTCTGTCTCACTTCCTCTTCACGTAGATGTGACTCCATACCTGACAGAAACAGGCCGAGGGAAGGATTTATTTCGGCTCATGGTTCAGGGGTCACAGGCCATCATGGTGGGGAAGGTATGGCGGCTGGTGCTCCATCTGTGACAGCTAGAGTGAGGCCACATCTGCGACAGCTAGAGGTGTGCTCACGTCTCAGTGACACCGTGTTGCAGAGAGACCTCAGTGGGAACTGGTAAGCCCCTGGCTTTAGGCTCTCCCCTCTCTCCAGGAGCCCACTGCGAAAGGTTCCATGCTTTCTCCGAACAGCGCCACCACCTGGGGACTAACTGTCCAAACCTGTGAGCCATCAAGGGGGCGGGCCTCAGGGACCCGGCAAGTTAAACCATACTGCTTTATCCCACAGCTGTACCTGGTTGTTTGGTTTCTTAACTTTATCTAAATCAGACCGCACAGAAAATCCTCTCTAGTGTCTGGCTGCTCTTCTCAGTGTTATGATTCAGCCATAGTGTCCATGTGGCCGTGGTTCGATTACTCTTTCTGTGTGGTCTTCTGTCCACTAATTGATTTTATTTAGTACGCTGGCACGTGCTTGTCACCTCAGCTTTCAGGAGGCTGAAGCAGGAGGATCAAGAATGCAAGGCAGACTCAGAAACAAAAAAGGAAGGGAACTCAGTGAGCGGTGTGCACCCCAGGAGGAAGCAGGGCAGAGTGAGTGTGCAGGGTCCTTTGAGGCCTTTGCTTAGGATGCCGACAGCTAGCCAGCCCGTTGATCTGATTGACACACAGCACTGTGAAGAGCATGGCTGCAGCAAGCAGGCAGGTCTTTGAAAGTAGGATCATAAGGCAAATAAAGCCAGGAATGCTTCATGTTGGAAATACCAGCCCACCTTGCTCTGTTATCCCTCACCCATCGAGCATAGGCCAAGCACCGCTTTTGTGCTCAGCTTCTAATCTGGATCCCTTCGTTTGTCAGCCTGGGGTTGGATCTGAGTCTATTGATAAATGCGAAGAAGTCCTTTAAAGCAGTGGTTCTCAACCTGTGGGTCTTGACCTCCCCCCTTGAGGGTCATATATCAGATCTCTTGTATTTCATATATTGACATCATGATTCATTGCAGTAGCAAAATTAGTTGTCAAGTAGCAACAAAGTAATTTTATGGTTGGGGTCACCACAAGATGAGGTAGTGTGTTAAAGGGTCACAGCATTAGGAAGGTTGAGGACACTGCTTTAAAGGTTTCGTTCTCCTGGCCCTTCCTTCTTTCCCTCCCCCTAGCCTCCCTCTTCTTCTCCCCACCCCCATCCTCCTCCTCTTCTTTCTCCTCCTCTTGCTCTTCTTCTTCATGCTGAGGTCCTTTTCCAGATCTTCAAATGGGATTACTTTATCTTTTCATATTGCTTCTGGGCTCACTCCCCCCTCCACAGCAGTTTTAGACTCACCCCAAAACTGAGTGGACAGTACAGAGGTCCCATATGTCTCTGCTCCTTACTCACCACAGGGGCATGCGGATTTGTTTCAGTTGATGACCTCACAGTGACATCATGGTCAATGTCCACAGCTAGCATGAGAGTTCCCTCTTGGGACTGGCGGTTCTGAACAAGTGGGGGACTGGATGTTGACCTGTATCTGCTATTAGAGTCGCTTCGTGACCAATCTAGGGGTTCTGCCACTTTGTCCCTCCCTCCCTATTACTGTCTCCACAGATTTCCTCTCCCAGAGTGTCACCTGTGGCAATCGTACAATATGT